TCCGGGCCGTCGGCCGCAGACGCCGAACTGCCAGTCAGGGCGGCCGCCCGGGCGAAAAGGGGAAAAAGGCGGCGCGGGGAGGCGACGGCTCTCGCCACCGCCCGCCTCCTGGAGGTGGACCGTGGGCAGGAGGAGGCCAAAGGCCGCCGTTTTCCGTGGCAGAAGGTGGCAGCCCAGCCGCCTGAGCAGCAAGCCGGACGGTGCTGTCGTGGTTCCGTCTGTCAGGGGAGAGACAACGCAGGTCTCCACGCCTCGGAGCAAAAGGGCAGCGCTGCTTCGTGGGGTCGTTCAGGGGCCCACGCAGGAATGGGAGAGCTCAGCAGCAGCAGAACGGCTTGCTCCATTTGAAGCCAGCAGTGCCGTGATAGATTTTACCACGGAGTGACGCATTTCCCCCTTTTTCTACTAAAAGGTGCTGAACTTTTTCTCTCTGATATCCAGAGGACGACAAAATATTGTGGGGCACAAAAATCCTTTTGTTTTCGTTCCTTCCATTGCAAACTCCTCTGTCCTAAGCCCAAAAGGACACTCCATTGCCCAGACATGGATCGCAGGTATAATTGCAACCCGAGAAACTTGTGTTCACATGTCTACCTATGGTTAAATTTATTTATTTTCTCTGTCCATTTATTATACCATCCATCAGAGAGATGGGATCCCACAACACAGTTGGCTAAACCAGGATCGAGTAGTCTGTGGCTCGGAGTGTCATACAAACCCAAGGTAAAGAAGGAAAGCAAAATGAAGTGAGGTCAGGATTTTGGATTGATAGCTCCAAAACCTATTTATCAGTAAAGGGCTTTGCCATGGAAGATATGAGACAGTATCATAAAGAGAACCATATTGGCTTTTACCACACACTTACCAAGAAGCAAGCCAATCATGGTTTAACATAGCCTCCTGTGTGAATCTAGCTCATATAGTTTACGAGTCAGTGTGATGTGAACCTATAAACTTGGGTTGAGTAAACCGTGGTACAGCTAACTCTTGCTTGCATTGTGTTAAATCATGGCTTAAGTCAAACTGAACCACCCACACTATGCATGCATAATACAATGTATGAATCCCTGCTAATGACAAGTCTGGGACTTCCAGCAAATTTCATAGATGAACAGGAATCTGAATGTCAGTGGCTGGGTTTTTCCATTTTAAACTTGGTTAAAACAGGAATACGTGGTTTGTGGTTCAGCATTTCACTGAATCACCAGGCCATTATGTTCAGCCATAGTGTGTTTTATTTGGGCACAGCTATGTTCCTTAACACTTACAGGCTTTACCACATTGTGTGAAACCAGCAAATGTCAGCAATCCAGTAGCATCCAAATGCTTTACGGCAGTGTTGTCCAAACTTGGCCACTTTAAGATGAGTGGACTTCAACTCCCAGAATCTGCTTTACAGGGAGGATGATTGACCATTTTATAGGTACTGTTTTGTCCTTTTAAAGCCCTCATCTTGCAGGCTTGAATCTTCTTGTTTCAAATATATCTCCAAAGCCAAGTCTTAATTTTAATATTTCAATTTCGAGGCCGCACAACTCCACAATGACTCTGAGCAGCTGAGATAAATCAGAGGCTAATTTATGAAACTCTTACTAGTACCCATGAGAAGCCATGATATCACATCATAAGATCATTGTGCAAATGATGTAATCTGTGTTACTTTTGTGGTGATGCCATGTCCCCTCCAACCTCTATATGCCCATGGAAGCAATTCATTTTTGTCATGCAAGTATCTGGAGCAACGCAGATGCTTCTGTGAAATTCTGATGGTTCAGGAAGCGTGTATGATTTTATGCTTACAGTCCTAAAGAATACTGAAGATTGAAGGAGATTGACCCGAGCTTAGGAAGTGAGATTCTCAACTAAGCAGAGATTCAAAGAGAAGCCAATACATGCTACCCATCCTGCTATGTTGGATCTCTTGGGCTCTTCCTGAAATGTGAATCCAGAGCATCTTGCACCCAAAATTGAGAACTGTATCTCTGTAGAAAGACATGGACGCACACACCTTTTAATGAGCTGTAGAGACTCCTCTGAGTGAGAGTAATTAGCACTGTCTCCTGCTATTCTAAGGCAATACAGACATGAAACGTGCAGGAGTCTGAGGTATCCTGCATTTGCAAGATGGACGCTGCTTCAAATTGTGAGGGCTCTGCTAGCTGGGAAACAAATTGCACTTCAATCTGTTATATACTGTGATATACACAAAAGGAGTAGCTTTTCCTTAAGAGGAAAAAATGGGAATCTTATCAAATTAACTGTCCTCTAAACTGTCATATACCCATATCCCTTCATTAACAGAAACAGACATACTTTAATTGGGATATTTTAACTGGGAAAACAAAAAGGGAGCAACATGGATGACAGCCTTGAAAAAAGGATAATGGAGAAAATAAGATTTCCCAAGATTTATTAGACAATACTGCTTCTTATATATATATTCATACCATACCACCAAGAAATAAACCTACCATTCAGATGTGCCCAAATAGAAAGAAATCTCTTTCATTTTTGCTAGGCACTGCATTTTCTCCAGCTTCATTCTGGCATAGTATAAATAAAATACGTGTCCATGAACAAATTAAACATTTAAAAATTCCTTGAAACATGCTGGGGCATTATGTTTTAGAAAGGTTTATCCAGTCCAAGGCATTTTGAATCCCTGGTTTGGCACTGTAGCAAGGGAGGGCGATTGCTGCAGGAAAAGGCTGTCACCTTTTCCAATAGGACATAACTCTGTGGAGAGCACAAGTACCCGTCACAAATGGCTGGTCACCACTTAGAGGGACCACAGTCTCTGTCAGCCACTGGTAACCAGTGTGGGATAAACCTCTGTCACATCTCAACAGTTGTGTCAGGAGCATGAATGCTTGAAGACCTGGATAAAGCTTTCATCTCTGTTCCTCAAACACGCTTACGAGAAATGGCACATGGAATGTGGCTTCCTCTCCAGACACACATTCACATACACACAAAGGTATAATTCACTCTGTATCTACTGTATGCTTTTTGCCAACCTTCCAGAGTGTTCCTGATCCTCAATAAAATTCACCTTGCATTTCACACATTTCAGTCAATACCAAATTACCTTTTATGACCAATTCCACAAGCCAAACCCATACAAAATATTCTTGTACAAAACTGCATTTATATAGCGAAAAAGGTTTTGTTTTTTTAATTTTAAAATCCTCTATATATAAACACCTCCCTTGGACAATGCGCTATATCTAAGAAAAGGTCAA